ACTCCCACCCTTCAATCACCCTGTCCCCTGCTGCTTGTACGTCTACCTTTCCGTCGTCGACGCTTCTCAGCAGTTTCGGGAAGGGTTCTACACTACCAGCCAGTCCTTTCTGGAATTCATCCGTGTCCCCTCGTCTCCCAAACGCTCTACTTTCCACCGGAACACTTTCCTCTGTTTCTTACTCTTGATCTTTCTAGATCGGTCGATGTTTGCCCATATGAGGAAGTGGTCGGTCGAACCTATATCTATTGAACGTACGTGCAGCTCTGGGATCTGTTTGCTCCCCCTTTCTACCAGGATGTAGTCGAGGATCGAGTATTCATTGCAAAATGCCTTTTGCCTGGTGAACTCTGGCTTATCGCATTCCCTCCTACCGTTCAACACCATCAGTTCGTTGCTTCCCAAGAATTCAAGCATCCTCACTCCGTTGTCATTCACTTTGTCTTCTCCGTGCTGCCCGATCGCCTGTCCTCTACTGGAAGCTTTCCCTACTCTGGAGTTGAAATCGCCCACCATGACAACTTCTCCCTTCCTACTGAACCTCTGGACATCTTCCCCAATTTGTCCAAAGTTCTCCTGCGCCTTGCTTGCGACTTTCTTCGACGACGGTGGGACGTATACGTTCCCTAGAAACAAATCTTTCTATCTTTCTCACCCCACTCCCCAGGTATCTAAAGCCATAGGCTCTCCGTTTTTCACCACTACTTCCACCACGTCAAACAAGTGTTCCTTGACCAGGAATCCGACTCCCCCCTCCCCCCATTTCTTCGCGTCTAAGTCCTTTCTTTCCTTCCCTACCCACCGGTATTTCCCTAGTTTGCTTACCACGTCCCCATCCTTCAATTCCCACGTCTCTTGGATCCCCACTACATCTAGATCGCTTTGTTCTACTTGGTCCACTATTTCCAACCGCTTGCGCTCACTCCTTGCGAACCCGCACACGTTCCACGACCCGACTCTCAGCTTGTGCTTTTCCCTATTGGAGATTTTGCGCACTCTATTGTTCGCCTTCCGCTTCTTCTTGGCGTTCTTCTGACTTGCCTGCTCGCCTCCCCCGCTCGGTCCCTTCTTCGCCTCCATCGCCCTCGTCTCTTGTCTCCTTACCTTCTCTGTCTCTATCATGTTCGTGATGCAAGCCCTCCATCCAAACTTCCTTCCGTAGTTCGACAGCTTCGCAATGTCAACCCCCAAGCACTCTATGCTGTCTCCCTTGGTCAATTTCACCCGGAAATGTTGGTGCTATCTGCCTACTTGTCCCCTTGCTAGGCAGAAGGGGGGGGGGGGGTACTCATATTCGTGCATGCCGTAGTCGTTAGACCATTGACCTCGCATCCCTACAAAGCCAGGACGGAGCATGCCGAGTTCTCACCGGACCAGGCTCTCACATCACCAAGCGCGAAGCGCCGTGAGATATTCGGCGAGTCGCATGAAGGGTGCGCTGCATCCTGCTAAGGGTGTTCGGCATCTTGTGCTTACTTCCTTGCGTACGGATGACAGCTGCGTATGAATTAATTTATTTTCTGGTGCTTTCACTTCCAGAATCAGTTGCAAGCACTGTGTAACTGCCTCGAGGGTGCTTGACCATTTTAACACAACGTGGTGCGATCATCCCCCTTGCGCGGAGTGAGGGTTCTCGACCCCGCACAACATGATCTACTCGACCACCATTATCGTTACTGCCAAAAAGAAAAGAAACAGAGGTAAAAAAAAAAACCGGTAACCTGGTTGCCGAGTTCACGAAG